ATCTTTTGCTTTCTTCAGTAAAAAACTTCCATGAAAGTCGTGAACATAGAAATGAAATATTCTATACACGTTTTTATTGTTATTTATTATGTTTTAATGCAGTTCATTCAATGATGTAGAAAAATGCAGCGCTCATTTGTAAATAGAATTTATGAATTGCTCCATTTTAGTAGAATTGAATGAAGAAAAAAAAATGTTGGACTGTAAGTTTCATTGACTTTCATGATTAGTATCATCAACGTTAGTTGTACGAAAGTTACGTGTAATTAAGTTTTCAGGACTTGTCTTTAAGGTGCTTACCTTGAAGCATTCATCTTGATCGGTTATTCTGTAAATAATAAATAAAATTTCTACCTATTAACTCACAATTTTGCGCCTAAGTATCTCAAAACGAGGTAATTTAAATATGGATAAATTAATTCGAAATTTCGTTATTCAAATTATAATTTTTTGTGTCGTTGTAGTAAAGATCAAAGCAAAAAAATCCAAGAATGATTTTTAAATGCTTTTAAATAATTCTTAGTTATTACTGGTCAGCTAAAAATTTATCACCATTCTTCATCCATAAGTATATTGTGGCCTCAGTAGGCGAGCCAAAACACATAAAAAAGCTCCGTTCAGGATCTCTGCTCATCGAGATTACATCTGATGCACAATCTTCCTCTCTCCTAAAAATGACCATAATGGGGAAACATTCTATTACTGTATCCCCACATAAGTCTTTGAACACGTCAAGAGGTGTCATTTCGGAAATAGACTTGATATCAGTCTCTGAGGATGAACTTTCAAAAGAACTCGCCGAGCAAAATGTGTGTGGGGTCCGCGGAATAAAAGTCCGTAGAGACGGGCAACTCGTCAACACAAAACATCTTATTCTGACTCCTTTCATCTCCAGAGCTACCGAAAGCCATTAAGGCAGGTTACCTGAATTGCGCCATCAGACCTTACGTGCCGAACCCACTGCGCTGCTTCAAGTGTTTGGTCATGCGAAGGCCGCATGCCGGGGAAACCTGGCATGTGCTCGCTGTTCTGCAGGTGGTCACGAAAGTCAGGAATGTGTAGCTGATCCAAAATGTGTAAACTGTCATGCCGATCATCCAGCATACTCACGAAACTAAGTGGAAAGAAGAGAAAGAAATACAGCGTATTAAGACTACAAGAAAAATCTCCTATCCTGAAGCTAAGAAACTTTTTAGCACGGGTCAGTCAAAAGCAAATGTCTCCTATGCACAAGCCACTAAATCATATCGGTCAATAAGTACACAAACATCGCATAGCACACAGAAGAAGACACCTGAACCAAAAACAAATGACAAAGATAAAGTTTTTCCTCTAACTCCTCCCAAACAGACAATAGAAAGTCGAGAAATAAAAACACAAGAAACAGAGAATTCAAAAAAGAAAATCAAAAGCTCAGAAAAGAGAAGCTCAAGCCGAAGCTCTATTGAAGGGATCTTTTCAGACTTTATCGAATCTGAGATGGAAACAGATGGAGGCAGAGATCTCTCGAAAAATGTTCTACCTCACAAAACAAAGAAACAGCATCGAAGCAATAAACATTCCTAATGGCTACTCTCATTTCGTGGAACTGCCGGGGCTTCTATCAAGGTATTGATGGCATTAAGCAACTTATTAATAAATATCGACCTATTGGTATAGCGATACAAGAGACATTCCTCAAACCTGGTAATTTTGCAAAGCTACGTAGATACTCGATGATAAGAAAGGATAAGACTTTCAGTGAACGCGCAAGTGGCTGCTTACCTCAATTAATTGCCCTTCGAGTGCTCTCCCTTTGGATACTCCTCTCCAAGCAGTTGCAGTATAGTTGAGCATTCGATCATTGACTACTGTTTGCAGTATTTACATCCCGCCTAATGAGAACATTAATTTAAGAGATTTAGAGGATCTAATTGTTCTCACTACCAGCTCCTTTTATTCTAGTCGATTATTTCAATGGGCACAATACCTTGTGGGGTAGTAAAGACACCAAACCCCACGAGGGAAAGCAAATTGAACAGCTACTCCACGACCACTGTCTCTGTATCCTCAACAACGTAGAAAGCACTTATTTTCATCAGCCAACAAGAACCTTCCATTCCATTGACCTTGCTATTGTTTCTCCACAGCTTTTGCCATTTTGTTTCTTTAATGTCGAGAATTATCTATATAATAGCGATCATTTTCCTATTATCATAAGCATTACAGGAAATAGGAGTGTTTTTATACCTAGAACACCACGCTTTTTGTTGGACAAAGCCGACTGTAGATTTCCTCACTTTGTAATTATATAGATACTGCTGGAAGTGAAGAATATTAAGAACTGATAAGCGAATAATCGCTTGACGAATAATCGTGTGACAGAAAACAACAAGATAGAAGGGTAAAATAACCCTTTATTATTCCAACTAAGATTTAACAAAACTCCGTCTTGGAGTGTACAATAAGGCCACACTTCGGCTTGAACTTAAGATACTAAGAATAATACTAAATTAATCTTAAATAAAGAGATATAGCAGAAGCTATCAAGATTGTAGCCGAGTTGGCCCCTTAACGTTAATAGACTGCGAAGCTATCAAGGGCCTAAAGTACGGCCGAGCGTGATAATAGCTTACGAGAGAGTAGCCTAAACAAGGCGGACGCGTGCAGACAGAATACTTGGTATCTCTCTCCCTAGGACCGAAGAACTTCGCGGTTAAATACCGCTTTTCCTCTTTTTGTATTCAAATGGGATTCTAAAACTACGTTCTGGCCGGAGTAGTAAGTAGTAAGTTGAAGTTAAGAATCAACAGGAAAGGAACTTTAACTCAAAATTTAACTGTTCAATAAAATTAACGTAATTCTTACAGTTCTATCAATCTTATGCGTTTTTCCTTTTGGGATTTGGCTGCTGACATCTTTGGGTTGCTATAGAGATAAATTACGTGTATTTTTGTTTACAACTGTTAGTTCACGGTAAATTTAAACATGAGGTGCAAAAATAACCATTTTCAATACATTTAATTAATTTTTATTTTCATAGAGGTGCGGCTGAAGCTCACAACAAGATATGTGAAGTTGATTCCTTAAGAGAACGCATGTGTCAGAATTGGTTTAAAAATTTGGTTCTGGACATTTTTAACTTACCTTCTGAAGCTGATGACGACAAAATGTAAGCCATAATTAAATCAAATTATCATATAACTGGGCAAGAGATTGCATAAAAGTCAAATGTATCACACACAACAATTGAAAATCAATAAAATGTCTTGGACTCGTCAAGAAGTTCGATGCTTGGGTTTCGCATAAGTTGAAAGAATTTCCCTTAATACAACGAATCAATATTTGAGATACGCATTTCAAACGTAATGCAATCTGCCGTTTTTTTTTTTTTTAAACGAATTTCCACTAATAATGAAAAAGGGCTCGTCTGCAATAAATTTATAGAGTCTGTCTCTCTTTGTTCCACATAAACTAGAATAGATCCTATAATGACCTGGAGAATTCTCGGACAGGCGTGAATAAAGCTACTGACTCAGACGAAGGTAAAAATAGCCCTTTATTAATTCAAAATAGTTAACAGAAAGGCACGGGGCTTCGTGCGTTACAAAAACACCGTCAATTTTCGGTGGAAACTAAACGCATAATTTAATGCAAGTCAAACCTGAAATAAATAGTGCAAGATAGCACTTAGGCTACGCCTAAGAGGTGGACTCATAAAAACCTAACCGGCGTGAGGTTAAATCTGATAAGGCTAAAAGGCTTACTCGAACAGCGAAATAACACCGAAACTTGCTCTTGGCTAGCGAAACACGCTCTGAAAAACTTAAATATTCACCCGTTTAAATAAGCACTTAACTTAAATTTACATCCTGGCGAGAGAATGTGAAGGGAAGTTGAGAAGTCTAGAATAGGTATCGAACTTAAAATAAATTTATGCAAAATATGGAAAACCCTACAACTTTAGTCGAAGAAGATCATGGTACAAGCATAATGAATCAGCACAAATCATGTCGAAAGCCAAATTGTATCAGAAAATGATGATGCTATCAATTTGATGGTATTAGAAAGGTGTTGTGTATTTTTGACTGTTTCTAAGCAGCTAGACCAACTCAGAGGTTTACTGCCAGCAACTTATTGAAAGTGGAGAAAGCAATCAAAGAGAAAAGGTTAGAATTGGAAAAATCGCAAAGGAATCATGTTCCACCACGATAATGCGAGGCCTCACATATCTTTGGTAACACGTATGAAATTATTGGATCTTGATTGAGAAGTGATGTCGCATTCCCAGTATGACCTGGACTTTGCACCACCGGATTATCATTTATTCCGAAGGTTACAAAACTTCTTATGTGGCAAAAATTTCTATAATAACGGTGACCTCAAATCAGACTTGCTTGCGTTTTGTGCTGGTAAAATCTAGAAGTTATATGAGCGTGAAATCTTGAAATTACCAGAACAGAATGGAAGATATTTGACTGATTAAAGTTCATTTTTTGTACAGAAAAAAATTTAGTTTTATGTCACACTATAAAACTGAAATTACTTTTTCGCCAACTTAATTGATAGTTTTTATTAGATATTTCATTTGGCTTGAGAACATAACCCAAGTGATTTCAGCGTTCTTATTTTCGTGTTCACTTCATAAAGGTGCTTATCTTGTCAACATGTTAATGGAAAATTGTATTAATTCTTTCTTAATGGAAAGAAACACTGAATCGAAAATAAAATACGTTAAAAAAATGAAATTGTTTTAACTAGTAATATTTTTTATTATATAATTTTTTAAATTTAAGACTTATTCCAAATTGAGTTCGCTATTTTTGGGGTATAGTAGACAAAAACTGCTTATGGAGTAAACGTGTAAGTAAACTTTAGGTAACTCAAAAACATTTTTTGCTGATAGTTAACTTTAAACTTTGATAACTAATTTTATTACATTTGCATTGTATGAAAAGGTTTTCTACAATGTTCATTTCTTTAGTAATCAGGTTTTGATGTATGAAACTTTCTTCCCACAGGTTCCTTTCTTGCACTGCCTCCTTGGAATGCCCGAAATGGTGGTTCGGTCTCCCTCGATGTCAAGACGCAAACACATTCTGCTGTGCTTTTTTATAACGCTGGAGTGCCTTTGAAATCTGATTTCATCTCTTTAGAGATACTGGATGGTAAAACAGTGATGTCTGTCAATGAAGGAAATGGTGTGGTCATGCTTCAGTCTGACATCACTGTCAGCGATGGAATCTGGCATCATGTGGACGTCCAGTTTAGTCAGTCATACATCGAAATCGTTGTCGATGGCCATATGAAAAACTTACGTCCAGGTCTTGGCGATAACCGCTTCTTTGATTTGTCTGGCTTCTTCTATGTTGGTGGCATCGAACTTAGTAAACAGTCACGTGCCTTACAGGATGGCCTGCAGTCCATCTTAATGGAAGGTGCCGAGTCTTCCCTTAAAGGCTGTATTAAAAACGTGAAAGTAAATAATCAGTTAGTTGGATTCAGAGAAGCCGAAGTAACACACCGAGTGCAACCAGACTGCTCTTGGGAATATACGTGCCTGCAAGATCCTTGCGTACCTGAAGCAGAGTGCTACCAAGACGGTGTTGACAGTTTTCGCTGTATTTGTGAACTTGATAACTGCATTCGGGCAAATTTTTCCTCGAGTTACAAACTATTTACAAAGTCTTCCAAACCTATAGATTTAGAAGTGCTGAATCTCCAGCCTTTGGTGATATCCGAGGGTGGAAGTGACCTTATCACGTCTACCCACATCCGTGTTATTTTAGATTATCAAAAATATGGAATAAGAGAATCAGGAGTTATCTTTCATATCGTGGAAGCGCCAAAACATGGCTCTTTGGAAATCGAAATTTGGCGGAGGACAGTGGACAATATTTTTACCCTTCTGGATCTTAATACAGACAAAGTGAGATATTCACACGACGGCTCAGAGACTAAGTCAGATGCTGTGGTTTTCGATCTTGAATTTCGAGCGCGAAATTTCAGACTTCCGTCATTTCTCGAAGAAAAACATCGCTTCGTCTTCCATATTCAGGTGATTCCAGTGAACGATCCTCCTAAATTAAAAATACCGCCTGAAAGAGTATTCAGGTTAGCCAAATTCACTAGGAAAACTATTACGTCAGACCTTCTAAATGCAGAAGATCCCGATAATTTGCCAAGTGATCTTGTATATACTGTACTAAATTTAGGATCTCCAGAATCCGAAGGATTCATAGAAAATGCAAAAAACCCAGGCAAAAGCATTGATACTTTCACTCAGGCTGACATTAATGATGGTGTCATTAGCTACAACAACAAAGGTGCAGGTAATGTCAGGGTTGCAATACGTATTTCAGATGGTATCCAATCAGACCAGACAACGTCAATGTTCCGAATTGCACCATTTGACTTAGAAATAACTTTAATGAATAATACTGGGATTATATTGCCTTATGATTCATATGCCTTGATTTGCTCTGATAATTTAACTTTCATTGATAATGCTCCAGATCAGAACCTAGAAATACGATACAATGTAACAAAGTTGCCTCAATATGGAAGCATTCAAAGATTGCGTAATAATGATCGATGGTATACTGTTAATCATTTTACACAAAGACAGCTCAAAAAGGAAAAACTGCGATATATTCACATAAATGGTAGACCAGCATATGATGAATTTAAATTTAAAGTTTCTTCTGGTGATGTAAAATTCCCAACTGTCTATGATTTTAGGATAACATTCATCGCAATTGATTTGAGACAAGTAAATAACGTAGAACTTATTCTCAACAGAAAACTGGACAGTCATATAAGTGAGTCTGAATTGAAATACGAAACATATCCCATTGCAACGTCTGCAGATCATATAACATACGTATTGCAGTCCCTTCCTTCGTATGGAAATCTTATCTTGTTTCAATCTGGTGACTCTGAACCTCGTCACAAAAAGCTGGAAGTTGGCTCCATCTTTACTGAAAACGACATCATTTCAAAAAGAGTAAAGTATAAGTTGCACCGGAAAAGTTATTCAGTTATAGAAGATCGTTTTACATTCAAAGTGTCTTGCCCTGGAGGTGTGACATTGTTATCTCAAGAATTCAGAATTAAGCATATACCTGGCGAAACAGAAGCAGTAGTAATTAACGAAAAGATAACTGTACTGGAAGGTGGAACTTCCACTATTGGTCCCAGTGAACTTCATATTGAAATTCCGTCTGCTTCAGATATCATCTATAACATCACAACATCCCCGAGGCATGGTATTTTGAAAAAATTAAGCCTTGATCTCTCAGAAGTTGAAGAGGAAAACGTCCAGCTTATAACTGGTAGCGACATTTCTCAGAGCAGGTTGATTTATGTTCATGACGACTCAGAAAACCAAAGAGATATGTTTCATTTTGTGGCATCTGCTGCAGGTGATAACAGTGATAGCTTTGTTTATTATGGGACTGTACACATTCACGTGATTATGAAAAATGATAATCCGCCAACAAGAGCAATAGACAAAGTTTTCAATGTCGTCCTCGATGGCGAACGAAAACTGACAGGTAGAGACTTGAAGTATGTAGATCCTGATATCGATTCGACCCCTTCTGATATTCAATACACAAGAAGAGGTATTCCAAACGGTGCATTGTTTCATGTTGACGATATGTCAACTCAAGTTTACCAATTCACGCAAGTGGATCTGAACACGGGAAAAATAGTATTTCGCCACAGTGGCGCCCCTTATGCCAAAGCTGTGCTTAGGATAACAGATGGTAAATTTTATGCAACTGGCATCTTGGAAATCCAAGGTTCAAAGCCTTACATTAAAATAACACGAAATACAGGTTTAGTTGTAAAACGCGGCGAGAACGGGCTTTTAACGGCCGATAATCTAACAGTAGAAACAAATTTCAACGCTGATACTGATGATATAACTTTTAAAATTACTTCAGCACCAAAGCATGGAGATATACTTCTAAATGGGAAGCAAATCAATCAGTTCACTCAGAAAGATCTGCTATCAGAGAATGTTGAATATGAAAACGATAATAGTGTTAGTTTCCAGGATTCTTTCCGTTTCTCTGCGTTCCTTGGAGACAGCACTGTTGAAGGCAAATTCGAGTTTCGTATTTATCCTGAAATTTATTGGGAACCACTAAAGGTTATTAGCAATAAATCTCTTTATGTTGACGAAGAGAAGTTAGGAACCATAGATGCTTCTGTATTAAATATAACCCAAATAGATATCAATACTAATAATATAACGTATACCCTTAAAGTGCCACCTAAATTCGGTTTCTTAATAATTGGTTATGTTCAAGATTTTGAAGATTGGAAATCCGTTTCTAGAACGTCACCAGCAAAAATGTTTACACAGTCAGACATTAATGAGCGACGTTTGCATTATTTTCATACCGAACAGAATGTTTCAGAAGATTATTTTACTTTTGATGTGACCAATGGAATCACTATGCTCAGGGATTTAATGTTTAACATAAAAATAATTTCAAAGATAATATTTTTAAAAACAAGTAACATTACAGTCATAGAAGGAAGTGAAGTGCCTCTCAAAAGCAGTGATATAGGAGTCATGAATCCTTACTATGAAGACTGGATTACAGAATATCTCATTATAGAAAAGCCCCAACATGGTTACATTACATACATCAAGAACATTAGGTCAAGAATATCCAGGTTTCCCGTGTTGCACCTTAAAAGTGGATTCATTCATTATGTCCATGATGGCTCCGAGACGACTCGAGACTGGTTCACATTGGTAGCTAACGCTACAGCTCTAAATAAGGAGAGTGCCCCTAGCACAGTTCATATCCTTATCGAACCTGTGAATGATGAAATACCGCATATCGTCAATAATACAGGTCTGGATGTATGGGAAGGAGATATAACCGTCATAACAAATCGACATCTTGCTGCTATTGATGATGATTCCGATCCGTCTGACATAAACTTTGTGATTTCATCCCCCAGCAATGGTTATCTGGCATTGAAGAATGACACTAAAACTCCTATTCTGAGCTTTACTCAAGAAATGATTGATCGAGGAATGGTCACCTTTGTCCATACAGGTAAAAATATTTTTATCAAAATCCATTAGACTTTATGCATAATAATGTCTACTATATTTTTAATTTCTTTTCCAACAGAAATCTAAAGCAACTGTTAAATATAGGCTATTTCTTTTACTTCTCTTCCTTATAACGTAATATTTAGCAAAATCAAATTTCTGTGGCATATTTAATTTTTATGCAAAACCTGTACCCTTAGAGTCATGGACTTTAGGGTATAAGTAAGTATAGTTCCATCATGGACTTTAGTAATGAAAAATTAAGTCACTCTTAAAACACTTTTTTCTTTCTGGTACATGTATAATTCTTGGATAGTCTTCAGAAGCTTATTCTGAAATTTTGACTGTAAACTATCATTTTATTTACCTATTCAAGTTAAAAAATTTCTAAAGAAATAGAAATTAAAATTAATTTTAATTTTTATCTTTAATGCTGGATTCGTAACTGTTTATAATTAAAAAATTCATATTTTTCGCTTTTTATTTTCAGCCATGAAACTTTTTTTCTTGTCTTATTTAGTTTATTTATAATATATTACCTAGATTTTTCCTGTTTTAAACTTTTATACTATTTTATACTATATTTGAAAAGTGTAAAGTATACAATATAATTCTTATATTTCATCTAGTCTTATTTAATATTAATTTTCATAACCGTTAAATTTCTCCTTGAATTTCCTGTTACTGTTAGACAAAGTAATATATTGTACTTGAAAAACAACTTGCTGTATATATAGGTTTTTATACAACTGAATACATCTGCGTTAAAAACTTCCATATTAATAATGATTAATGAGACACATTTTCATCAATTTAGATCTCCGTTTTAAAATAAAATATGTGTGTCAGAGTAAACAGAATATTTAAGTTACAACTATCCGTAACTGATAATGCAGAAGTGGTGTAAGTGACCAGTAACTAAAGTAAAAATCTGAAACGGGTACCTAATACCATTGCGGCTCATAATCGCAATGAGAAATGTATCCAGTTTACCAGAATAAATACGACGTGAAAATACAGGGAGTTTCAACAAATAGGTTACAAACTTTCAGGAGAGATAGAGTACACGTAGATAATGAAACACACATAGCAATGCATGGTCGGAATCGCTTTTCTGGCGCGGTAGTGACGATACAAAACACAAGAAAGGAATGACACTAACAGGGTGAGGCTATATGTTTATTATGCTTAGTGCATTGACAAAAAACCAAGAAATAAGAGCAAAAACATGCGATCGTCATCAAAGAAGATATTCGAAAATTACGTTCGAAATGTATCCCCAATAATCGATCGGCAGTCGTGCATTGACCAACAAGATCACCAGAACTCACTTGCATTGACTACTTCCTCTAAGGATACGTCAAGAAACTGGTGTACGAAACTGCTGAGGAACTTGTTGCACGTATCGTGGCAGTTGCTAGGGAAGTCCGGGACATGCACGGTATTTTCCAGAACATCAGATCTTCCATGTGCCGAAGATATGAGTCCTGCATCAGGGTCCGGGGTTGTTAATTTTGAACACCTTTTTTGATGACGATCGTTGTCTATTTTTGTTTTTATTTCTTTATTTCTGTTGTACTAAGCATAATAAACATGTTTTCTCACTCTGTTCGTGTTCGTCCTTTTTTGTGTTTTGTGAAAAAGCCTTTTCAACCATGCATTACTATCTGACTTTCCATCGTCTAGGTGTACTCTATCTCTCCTGAAAGGTTGTAACCGATCTGCTGAAACAGCCTGTATATTAAGATGCGTATAGATTATAAAAAGAGGCGACGGAAGCATCCCTGGTGGCTAATATAGCTAAATAAGTATAGTTCCATCGTCTTTTCTCCATTTAGAAGTAACAATGTAAGAACCTGAACTAAGCTAGAATATGAGATTATAGAATCTTAAGAATAGTAATTTCGGAGTTATACTGCATTTTATTTATCTATGAACTTGAGATTGAGGACATAACATAGGAGCTTGAATTATGTGCATTGGTGCATGTAATTAAGTATTTGCAATTAAATCCTGCCCCTTCGATGTTAGAACGCTGATGTATATAATATGCGTTGTTGCATCGCTAGGGTTTTCTCTATATATCTTTTATATGTGTTGATGGTAGACTTATTTTACCAGTCCGGTAAACTGGGTCACGAGGATCTAGCAAATATTGAGCAAAAGAGTCACATGAATGTCTAAAATTAGTCTTTAAGAATCTAGAGTTAACAGAAGAAACCGATAAATAGCTGTTCTAGTTGGATAATTTAAACTACTAAAATCTAACCCATATATCTAATCTATGTGCCATATAGGCTATATCTAATCTATGTGCCGATAAACTGGGTCACGAGGATCTAGCAAATATTGAGCAAAAGAGTCACATGAATGTCTAAAATTACTCTTTAAGCATCTAGAGTTAAGATAAGATAAATAGCTGTTCTAGTTGCCTACTTTAAACTATTAAAATCTAATCCATATATCTAATCTATATGTCATATAGGCTATATCTAATCTATGTGCCATATAGGCTTCACGACGCAAAGATCGATGATTATAAGTAGAAGGGAATCACGAGGGAACGACTTGTGTATGATTGAATTAGTTGTTTCCTAAAAAGCAGAAAAGTAAAACGACTCGGAAAATTGTCATTCTCTGAGATCTCAATTTTTCTAAGCAAATTGGTTGGAGGTTCTTACCTCCACAAGTATAAATTTTCTTCCAAACTTTCTCTACGGTTATATCAGCAGGAAGCTCTTTCCACGATTTTAATTTGCTCTCCTAAAGTTTAAAATTGTACTACAGCCTAAGCTGAAGTTAATTGTTTTTATAAATTTCTCTTAAAAGAGGATTGCTTGTGTTTTGATACCGTCTTCTAGCAGCATTTAATTGCTTTTGCATGCAAGATATTTCAGTCGACCACCAAGGAACTTTATGAAAACGACACGTTTTCAAAGGAACAGACTTTTCCCCAGTAAAAGCATCAAGTTTTGTAACTCTTGAACACATAACTAACATATCAAGTTGAGTACAATTTTCAGTGGAGTTTAAAATATTCATGCCAGTATTAACACAAAGTTTATAAAATACTTCCAATTTTTTGTTTTCATATTGAAGAAATTTTTTCCCGGAAGCATTCAAAGAATTGTTACCATTTGGACTTTTAATTTCAAAATAAATCATTTCGTAATCAGATAAAGAATCATACTCGGGTATATACCATTTCCTACCACGCGTACTTATGCAGGTTAAATTTAACAAACCTAAAACAGTTCTTAAATGTATTAGCCATAATCAATGCGAGCAGTCATTCGTTCTCTCATAAAAATGTGACTAAGCCAGCAGTTAAAGAAAGGTTTATAATTTAACATCTACATTTTTATCTCCACTTTTCAACTTTTCGCGCTTCACTTTTCAACAACGACACTTTGAGCTGTTATTTTATCCAGAGAAAAAATACCAATACTAATATATATTTCGGCAGTGTGTAGTTTTGTGATTATACCGAGACAGGAAAAGCACTTATTAATGACTATAAAATCTTCAACATTGCACATATTCCACAGCAATTTCAAGAATCCTAACGCAAGTATATATTTCCAAATTTTCGCATACACTTCAATAGTTACATATCAAGTTCAATAACAGCAGATCATACATGTTAACATTGCTTCAGAACAAAAGGTAATGTTGATTCACTACTTCAACTCTCAATTTTGCTCCAGAACAGTATCAAATATTTCTGAATTTTTAACATCATTCGGAATATTTTAATTTATACAGTGGATTATTTCCGTTTAGGAATAATTTATTTCAAAACAACTGGAGTCTTCTCAATACAAGCAAATAATTAATTTTTATCGCTTTTTGAAACACAATTAATCAAAATTCTATTTTTACTAATACTTTTAATGTGTAGAATTTCAGTGTTTTCTTTCTGGGGATCAATTTGAATCTAAAATGTTTTTTAACTTCGTCCGAATTACATTTATCAGCCACGTTTAAAAAGGAACAATCGATACATTTTGTTTATTGTTTTTCAATCAACAGATGACGCTACCATCTGACAGTAAGATTTTTTTCTGGGTATGGTTAATGATAGTTTCCTTGGAAACATAACGATAAGTTGCAGGCTTAATCTTTTCAGTTTATTTAATAACAAGAGTATTTTCAACTCGTCCCCCAACGTTGTTCCTGCATCTTCCTGTAACTGTTGGCTCATGTTGAACTGAAAGAAGGGCAGTATCAATACTATTTGAAAAAGATTCCAGTGAAGCATGAAAACATCATCATTTACAATCCACCATCTTGCCCGTGATGCAATTAAGAAAATCGCTCTTATATTCGAAATAAGAGGTATTAAATCCAAAAAAGTGCATATAATGATTCCACAACATCAAGCACGTAAAAAGCATCAAATTTCTCTATGGTGTTCATAAAATTACCGCATAATGAACTAAAATGAAAAGGGTCAAGATTTTGGAAACGGCTTAAAAACGCTGGTGATCTATGCTGACAATCAGGTCAATGTTAAAACGTGCCATAACAGACTCTCTGGACCATTACTTGGCAACGGTTTTTAAATGAAATAGATAACTGATTACTGCAAGGGAGTACGCTGCACCTACAGGAACTCGAATCTCCAAACATACCGTGTGTGACAGGTTGCATGAAAGAGGGCGATGTGCAAGGAAACTCATGATTTGTGTCCCACTAGCTCGCTCTTCAAAATGCGTGTTGTTGCAGTGGATCATCTGAATTGAAGCAACACGGACTGTAACCGAGTTCTCTTTACTTGTAAGTGTCGGCTTGCTTTTGAGAGGGATTCCAGATGTGTTAAAATCTAGAGGGAGCATACCACAAGCAATAAGGCTGAAAACATCCATGAAAAGCATTCGTACAGAGTTGGTGAAATCATGATATAGGAGGACATCATTCTGAACAGCCACACAGATCTGAATAGCGGATTGTAAATTATGACATTTTTACCAGAGCAACTATGAATGCTGAAATATACAGAAACATGGTATTTGATCGACTGTTATATGATAATTGTAAGGATGTAATCAATAATAACTTCCTCCTGATAGACGATAATGTCCGCATCACTATCGTGCTGTCCTAATGATTGAATATATTGAGGAAGAAGATATCCAGCGGATGAAGTGGTCTGCATATTTTCCGGATTTAAATCAGATGAGGCACTGTAACCCTCACGATGATCTGAGGCACTTGTACTGCTGACTTTATTACTACAGTCTCCCCTGACACTCACTGGGAGGTGGACAAAAGTGTTGTTCACCATCAATATACATTGTTATCACATTTCGGTTTACACCTTTTAAAGGTTTTCTATGTATCTCTAAAAAGTCGAAACTAAATTTTACCTGCCCCACTTTATATTTCTGAACACTCTTTTAAAATTTATTTGTTTACATATTGAGTATGATCCCACTAGTCTCTAAAATAATATTCACATTTTAATAATATAATGCTTTCTGTGCTACTTAAAATAATGCCTCTCCCTTTTAGTGTTAAATCTGATTGATATTTTTTCCCAATGAAGTGCAATACTTTTATTTAATAGCAGCAATATTACTTTTATTTAATATTTACAGTTTTTCTAGTTATAATATGGTAATTTTCTGAAAGACAATTATGTTTATTTTTAATGTTGTATATTGAAAGTCTTTTTTTAACGAGAAACATTCTACTTTTCCTCTTTTAAATGTCTTTAGATGTTTTAAATATTTCTTTATGCTCAGAGCGCAAAATGTAATAAATTCTGATGCCATACTTACCTTTTTTTGTAGGGGAGAAAGCTGGTGGATTCAAACTACAGGTTAATGACGGCGTCAATTTTGATTCCCCACATGTGTTTACAATCACTGCCCGAGTTCTTCAGATTCTGCTTGCAACAAATGAGAAGCTGAGCATCTTGCCACGAATGCAGCAGTCCATAACAAAAGATCACCTTTTCGTTACTACCACTGACCACGATTTTACCAGAGTCATAGATTTCAAAGTAACTCGCCGACCAGAGCTAGGAAGGCTTCTAGTAGAAAATCCTGACGGATCTCTAATGCCCGTCTCAGAATTCACCCAAGAACAAATCAACAGAAACTTAGTGTTGTACGAGCACAACAAGCCAATGGTTGGGTTAACATCATCAGACATGATAAGGTTCAACATAGAGACACAGAATGCTCAAACTATGAAAGATGTCGAATTCCACATAGAGATCTCTGTAGGTAATTTTGCTGCAGGGAACGTAGACCAGCTTGTTGTATTACATCCATTAGAGGTGAAGGAAGGTGGTGTGGCTGCTGTAGGTCAAGAACATATCGATATGTCACGCTTATTCAGTCTTTGGCAAGGAAAAGTTAAAAGCGAATTTGCAAAGAAACTCAAAATAGTTCTTCATGTGCCTCCTGTCAATGGCTGGCTGGAAAGCAAAGAAGGAAATTCTTCCTCCATAAGTAAATTCACATTCAATAGAGATGATATTCGAAAGAAAAGGATACGCTATCATCATGACGATTCAGACACTTTCAATGATAGTTTCAGTCTTGGTTTTTATCTTACTGATGATAAGGAATATCCTGATATTCTCTTATTTAATGGTACTCTTAATGTCATAGTGTATCCCATCAACGACAATCCATTTATGTTGTGGACTCGTACAGCTGTTCTCGAAGTTGTGCAAGGTCAATCTCTTACTTTAGGTCCTCATGTATTAAACGTTTCAGATGCAGATGGAGTGCCGAAAGATATTGTGTATGAAACTATTAAATATCCATCTAGCGGTAAGTTGGTTATGGGCAATATTTCCGTTAGCAACTTTACACAGGATGATATCAACAATCACTTGATCCGCTTTGTTCATGATGGAAGTAAAGAAAATAGGAGTGCATTTTCATTCAAAGTAAGCGACGGAAAGCATAAACAAGATTACGCCGTATTAGATATTGCTATAGTTCCTATAAAATTGCATTTGGTAAACAGAAGTGCCATAGAAATTCAACAAGGTTCAAGTAACGTATTTCTGAGCCGCAAAAACTTGGGAGCCGAAACCAATGCGTACAACGAAGATATATGGTATAACATAACATTTTTGCCATTGCATGGTCATATATTCGTAAATGATGATGCCATGCGATCATTCAGGCAAAAGGACATCAATAACAAATCTGTGCTTTATATACAATCTGATCTCACTGCTTCCGAAGATTACTTCATCGTTACTCTACAGAGCGGGAGCAATATCGTAAAAGATGTAATAGTGAACATTACTGTTGTTCCCCACGTAAAACAAAAACCTCTTCTTGTCAATGCCTCCGGTTTAACATGGATTACGTTAGATGTCTTAAATGCGACTGAACTTGCTCTGCAAACCGAGAGCAATCCAAAATACGTAGTCTTCAAATTTCCTAGATATGGTGTTTTGAGAAAATTAAACTCAAATAAATATTCGAAACGAAGTTCTTCCAAAACCTTTGAGTTCACTCATGAGGATATTGTGAAAAAACGTGTAACGTATGAAGGAAAAGATATGGAGCTGAAAGGAAATGTTGTTGACAGTTTTGAATACATACTTACTGCTCCTAAAGTTCAGCCAGCAAGAGGTAAATTTATTTTCAATGTACAACCTTCCGTATATCATATATCTACCTCTGGACCATCAAAAGACTTATCGACACCTTCTGTGAAACCACAGCCTCCTCCTCTCGTACCGGATGTGGGCAAAACTGCCACCACCGCACCAGAAACATCAAGTGGAGGAGTATACCAACCCAGTATCAGCAATGACCATTTATTAATAGCTGGCATCATCCTAGGCGTAGTTATTGTGAGCCTTGTGATCATTATTATTGTAAAATGCAGATCTATGAGAAAAGAAAGACGCAAGAATCGGACTGGGCAACCTTGTTTCGGCCATCGTCACAGCAAAAGCAATGCCGTTGCTGGTTCTCACACAGCTCAGTCCGACCTTGACCTTTCTGATCCTGTACCTTCTAACGGCAGCTTGTCTCTATCTGATGATATACCTCCTCCCCCTCCCCCACCGACATCCCCTTCAAGCAGCAGTAGTCACCTCGGTTGTATCGGTGGAGGAGGAACCCCTAAAAATAGAACTCTTAAAAAGAAGGGCAAATGCCTAGACGCAGAGCCTTCTTTACCGCCGCCCCCTTATATTTTAGAAAATGGTGAGTGGACAGAGATAAACGTTCCACTCCCCACGTGTAAAGTGACTCCTATATCTCATGGAGACCAAGACGAAATCAATGAAACAACTCTTAAGGGCCCCTATCTTCTGCGAGATCCGAATGAAGGAGAGGACTGGAGTAATTACGAAGGATCCGAATTGAGATTTGGGCCTCCCTGTAATCCGGTGCTGAGGAAGAACCAGTACTGGGTATGACGCACAAGCAAACTAGAGACTCAGTTATAAAATTCTTTTTAATTAGAGTTTTATATATTTCTTACTATATCGGTAGCATTTAATATATTGTAATATGAGGTGGCTCTATGATGTTCATTCACGAGGTATATGTAATGCATTTAAATATTCATTGCAGCTAAACTTCTATAGTTAAGAATTTGTAACAAGGGAAATAGTTTTAAAATGGCAGTACCTTATTTTTTGTATTTTCATGGATATGGCTATCGAGTGCTAAGAGGAAATAAATATCACCAACATAGCTACTATTGTATTATCGTAGAAACTTAGAAACGATAAAACAGGCAATGTACTTAAAGGGGAAAGAAAAATATGAATGAATTTAAATTAACGCAGTTTTTATCCCCGAAGATTTAGGCACAAAAAATGAAGCAAATATAAGGCAAGTATATTTTTGCCATAATTAAAACACTTAATATGATCACGTAAAATTATGCACTAAACCTTTTTTTTTTTCAGTGTGGAGTTAATGAGATAGATTACGTCTATATTGTCTAAAGCCGACACTTAAGTCATGAAAGTAAATATATTTCCCTAATTTTATTCTTCACCTTTCCATGCAATTGCGCACGAGTGCGTGACTAATAAAATATCTATTAAGCTAATGCATTTAATTATCAATTAATCAATTAAGTGATAACTTTTACGAAGTATATGTAAACATTTCGTTAGTCAAGCAAGTATTTAATTCCACACAATGTAGCAGATTGCTTAGGCTATTGTTTAATAGAAAGCAACATAAACCAGAATTATGTATGTACAGTATTTATGTAATAATGCTTATGCAGTGTATATGTATTAAACTAGAAATGCGTTTTTTCGATTTTATAAACGAATATCAAGCATACGGGATTAGGAAAACAGTTTGCAAAAAGATATTTAAAAATAATGAATTTTTTTAATGTTAATTGAGTCGGTTGCAAAAATCTATAAACTGTTATGTTCTATACACAAACACGCACCGAATTACTGAAGACGAAATTTGAACTTTAATCTAAACATTTTTAAGTACATCCTCTTCGAAAATAATTGTTTAATTTATTTATTATTAATTTGTAGCGTTGCGCGCCTCCAACTTGCACGCAACCAAGAGGTGACTGTTGAAACTGGATAAATGACAGAGTCTTGTTAAGGGTTTAAGTCCCTTTTTATTCAACGTAATAAATTACAAGTGCGTGCTCTTGACGCTCACAAAACTACGCCAACTCGGCGGTAAAATAAAAATAATAACCTGAAAAGAAACTAATGACAAGACTCTAACTACGAGGCTCTCTAAAAGTAACTAACCTCACCGTGTTTTACAATACCGCTGCTAATTCAGCAAACTTGAAGGTCACGTTGAACGATTAACAATTCTTCCAGGCAAGTACACAGGCCGAAACGCGGGGTTCTTTAATTTCTGGCTAACTACCTCCGCGCTCGTGAAGTAAGAACAGCACACCTCGAACTCGTTTCCTTTCTATTTAACTCAGAATACTTCCGCTGATAATTTGAATCCTTGCGCGTTCTACTAAAATTTACATACTCTGGCATTGGCAGTTCCAGGGGAAAGTAAGGCTTGACAGGAAAGATAGTTTAAACTTAAACTAAATGTTAGTTAAAATAAATATAAACTCTACAAATTAATTAATTTTTTATGTTTTTATTGAGTATGAGTAGTTCCTGTTTTTTTATTATATATATATATAGATAGATAGATAGATATAAAATAAAATATTCAGCTTCTACTATTTTCTATTAGTTTTTTTTAAAAAATTGAACTTTTTTCCGAACCTGCAGCAATTGCGCAGTTCGTCTCTTAGTTTTAAACTTAGATTTTAAAATCTTTTCAAGAAGCTTTGACTGATGACTTTTGAATTTATATATATATATATATATATATATATATATATATATATATATATAATATATATACATACAAATAGTTCAAAGTATAATAATTGTTCCGGTACACAGGAACAAAACTACTCAACCTGACTCTATTTCGCTTTTGGCATTATGCCAAAGAACATTAATTCAAAAAACAAGCAGTTGAATTGTCGGACTCAGACGGTCACATTCGCAAGGCAGCTGGAATGCAGTCTATTTTTAATTATTTATTATTTTTGTTCTGTTCTCGCATCTACAAGTTTGATATATCATTTTCGTGTTTATACTTATATACTGTGCAACTACTTAATATAGGTTTTTGTGTTTTAAAAAGAGGATGTGTATCTAATTCATTCACATTAATTGCATTACAATAATAATGTTAACTTATTTTGACTATAGTATTAATGCTAAAAAAGGTATTTATAATAAAAGAAGAAATTTTGACATAATATAAGAAACTAAGAATGAAATTTTTGATTTAATATAAGGAAGCTGATATTTAAAATAATGATTTTAGCAGATATTAAAAAAAAATTATTTCTGCTTGAAATAAAATGACACTTATTAGTATATAAGGTCAATTACCAATTCTTATGAAAAGAAGGTAAAACATTTTCTTGAGCGTTAAAATTTTGAATTAAAACTACCAAAACACATCAAATAATTATTCCATCTTTATTAAACAAACTGCGTTCTTATTCTTATTAAATAATATGTATCCTTAATTTTATACGCTATGTAAATTACTTTAAATTTGCATAACTTATATAGAGAGAATGAGAGAAAAATGGAATGTTCTTCGTTGCTGTAAAAATTTTCCCTTAAAGCATACGAATTTTCATAAAGATTTTTACACAAAATACTAAGAAACAAAATATACGCCTGAAAAGATCGTCTGTAAGAAATTAAATAAGAAAACTAGCACACTACTGCAAGATTTAAGCACTCTTAATGCACTCAAGAGTTATATTTTTTTAATATAATTTTCTATGCATTCATCAATTTTTTATATTTTGGTCAGAAACACCAATAAATACTTCGTATGAAGAACATTTATTTAGATATTTTCAAACATTATTTTTCATGATATGACTGCATACTATTTATATTCATCTGTATTTTTTAGAATACATTTCTAGTAACTATATAAGTATGTTAACTATAATGCAGATAGACATATGTAATTTTTGTTACATGAACTGCAAATGCTACTTTTGTGTATATTGTTGGTTGGTATATATGCTTACTTAAAGTATTATTTTTGCACAAATAAGAAGTAGTAATTTCTTGAAGAAATTAATGCTTGCTTCGTACTGTTTACGTCTGAATACACGCGGAAGTCTTCCAAATATACCTTGTGAATGTTATATCAGTTTATGTATATAATTCATAAAACTGTGTAGATAAAAGCATTTGAATTTTTATTGTAATTTAGCAACCATGTAAGAAAAAGTGCTGCCGCTCATAGGAACAAGCATTTATTGTTTGTCATATTTGTATGTGGTGGAAGCAATTGCCAGGTGCTAAATGTGTAATCATTGGCACTTAGTTATAATATTCGTCTAATAATGTGCAATAATGCTTATGCATCTTAAATATCCATCAATGTATAATTGCTGTTTGTTATTTTGTATGTTTTTATAGTATTTGTTACTGATCATCATCTGAAATTTTAACCAAAGGGAAAAAAAAAAAAAAAAACGTCGACACAATTGCTATTAAACTCATCATCTATTAGAGGCAGGTAAAATATATCATGCACTTATTATTGAAAATAATCATGCACTTTTATTGAAATTATATCTCTGCGATGATGTTTTCTTATAATATTTAGCATATAGCATAATATACATTTTCACACAAAACTAAAGATCGATTTTGTTTTTGTACTTATTCTCTGGGCTGAAAGAAAGATATTTTTAAGCACACGCAGTTCTAGAGTTAGGTGTAGTATTTCATTTAAAAGAATTTATATTCCAAGCAAGTTCGCTTGAGTTTTTGTTTCGCTTTCAGTTCTTTTTTGAGCAAAACGCTTGGAGTACCTCTTTTTAAGAAAATTTTAAAAATTACGAATTTTTTTAAACGTTCTAAATGTAGTATAATTCGGATAATCCTCATAATATCAGCTCATATTAATGCTTGTCATATTTTAATGAGAATTTTTATAGGATTCAAAATTCGAGAACGCCGTGGTACGTTTCTTTTCAAGACTAATAAACAGCTTTAATACAAACAGATTACAGGGACATAGTTTTAAATTTTCTATTCTAGTTAAACTTATTGCCACTGATCTAAACGCAAAGCCTTATCTCATGATCGATGTTTAATAGGAAAATAAAAATAATGTTATTTATTTTGCTAAATTTCTTTCACATTTTAACAAACTCCAGATTAAGTAACAACGTTCTCCCTGCTTAAATGTTTCTCAAGTAAGTCCTAAGTGTTTTCCTCTTGAGCGCTATCTTAGCTTCTACCGAATTAAAAAAGACAAAAAAAAAAAAAAAAAAAGATTGTAGGTAAGGCAACAATAATTTTCAAATTTTAACATTTTCAGAATTTTCAAGGTGAGGAAATGTTCCTAGAACTTCCTTAATTAATAAAGGATTTTATGCATGTGTTTATAAATAAATGGTGTTGTTTTAAAATTAATAATAAATCGAAGTATTACTTTATATGGGCAAATCTTACAATATAAGCAGCGGCAACTGTCCAAGGTTTTGATGCATTAATCACAATCCTTGAATATGTACACCCTTTGTCATACAACACACATCTACAGGGTCAATTCTTCCCTTACTCTGTGTAGCATATCCGCCGTGACGGTCTCCAATGCATGGTTTATCTGACCAGGATATGGGCATTGAAGGTACATAAAATAGGTCTTTAACAACCCCAAAAGAAAGAAATCGCATGGACTTAAATCCGGCGAACGGGTTGGCCAATACAGCACGAACATTCCAACGTTGGTGAAGAACACAAACGCTGTCATATATTTCTCTGAAAATGGAGCGGAGCACTGTCGAGTTACAAAATGTAACCATTATGATTGGGTTCAGCTAGAGTAACAACCAGGTTTCCAACATGTCTAGAAATGAGTGAAAAATCACAGTTCCTTGTTCGAAGAAAAATAGGCTGTGTACTTTCTCACGGGATATCGCACATAAAACGTGCATGACATTCATACTGCACTCAAACCACAGATCTGCACGCCTCAAAACGGAACACAAAGAAAGCCTTTTCTTGTTGCGGCGCCATCTTGGAAACTGGTGCTGCGGCTGCGCAGTAAGCATGACACGCAAACGGCAGATAGCACATGAGAAGCTTGGACAACTGCCAATGCTTACGGCGTAGGTTTTATATGGGTATACATCGATTTACTATTAATTTTTAAATTACTATTCATTTATAAACATCCTGTATAAAATGACAGCTAAACACTCTACGTTTATTTCAATTTTTTTTTATTAAAGCTGACAATGCCATCACTCAGTATTTCATTGATCAATTTTGCATGTGCTGGCCAGGAAAAAACAATAAAAGAGAAACGTAATGGAAATACTATGTTTTTTTTTGAGCACGTGTACATATAAAAGCAAAATCGATTTAATTTATTGAACTGTGAATCCAAAAAAAAAAATAGTTTGTTTTTGTAAAAAAAATTACGTATAGATGTTTATTAAGGAAATAAGTTCTAGCTAAATCGTTTAAATATAGTCAACAGAAAATCAATACCTTTAGCCTGAGAAAAGAACATTGAACAGTGCCTTTTTCGTCACGAAACGTTTATCTTGAGAAAGTCTGGAGCTTCAGTATGTATATATTTGATTTGCGAGCTTTGTCTTCCTAATTTATGATATTTCAGTCTTTAGCAATGACCAATATCGTGTTCGAGATTTAATTAATGTTAGATTATCTGAAGAATGTTAGAATATCAGCCAGCTGTTAGATGGTGTACAAATCTGATGGTGTTCTTTATGTGTGTGTCATCAAATTTATTGTGTTTCTGATCACCATGGATGTCTGTGTGTTTTGTCTTTCATATTCGAAAAGGAATATTCATCTATTTAGATTAAATGAGTTTGAATACAAAACTGATTTTGTCTTTTCTTTTTTTTTTACTTGTGTTTCGCTATGCATCTTTTAAGAGCATGTATAGTTTTGCACAAGTTACACTTAACATTTCTTCTAAGCTTATGTTAACCCTCTTAAATCATCTAGACCAGAGATCGGCAAAACTTTTATGGTTTTTTTTCTGTCGGTGGGGGAGGGGGGG